ATGCATCAGAATTTCCTTTTTCAGGTTGGGTAATATTCCATTGTATGGCTAGACCTCATTTTGGTGAGGTATACCTCATTAACCATCCATGTGTTGGTGGACATTTAGATTGTTTCATCAGTGGCTTTTATGAATAATGCTGTGATGAACAGGTTTAGAAAAATCTGTTGAGTACCTCTTTTGAATTATTTTTTATCTATATCCAGAAATGAAATTGCTGGATTATATTATGATAATTCTAGGGGTTTTAATTTTTTTAAATTTTTTCTAGGGCTTTGTACTTGTTAGGAGAGCACTCTACTATTGAGCTAAAACTTGGGCCCTCATTCTTTTTAAAGCATTGACCCTGACTTGTTTTTAAGTGTACCTTTAAACCATGTTAGTAAAATTATCTTATTGGGGTAAGCTGAGGCAGGAGGATTGTGAGTTGGAGTCTAGGCTGGGCTGCATCAGAGACCCTGTCTAAAGAAATTATCTGATTTATAGGGTTTTTTTTCAAACTTTAAAAAAAAATTTATTTTTTTAATTTTATGTGTATTCGTGTATTGCCTGCATGTAGGTAAGTGCACCCGTGTTGTGCAATGCCCACAGAGGTCAGAAGAGGCTGTCGGATCCCCTGGGACTGGAGTTACAGACTGTTGTTACCTGCCATGTGGGTGCTGGCATTCAAACCCAGGTCTTCTGCAAGACAAACCAGTGTTCTTAACTGCGGAGCCATCTCTCTAGCCCCTGATTTATAGTTTTAAGCTAACTCTAGGATGTGGTGGTGGCTGAGAGTGTAGCTCTGTTGGTAGTTTGCCCAACACACATGAGGCCCTGGGTTCAATCCCCATCGTAGCATAAACCAGGCATGGTGGCACATGCTTGTAACCCTAACACTTTGGAAATGGAGGCAGGAGGATCAGAAGTTCAAGGTCATCCTCAGGTACAGAGAGAGTTTGAGGCCAGCCTGGGTTAGCGGCCTTGTCTCACCAAAGGAAAGGAGGGGGGATTACTCTGGGGCTAGGCCTGTTGTTCAGTGGCAGAGCACTTGCCTAGCATGCTTGAGGCTCTAAATTCCCTCCCCAGTACCCTAAAACAGTAAAAAGAGAGAAAACCATCCATAGTGGCTTCCACGTCAAGATGCGCTGGGAGAGGGGAATGGAGTGGATGACAGGAGAGCAGCTGGATATTATGGCTGGATGGCAGGAGGAATGGATGGAGCTGATGTGGAGAAGGGAGATGGAGAGCCCAGCATGCTCCAGGGCAGAGCAGCTGGTAGGATACTGGTGCCAGGTGACATAGGGGGACTGTTGGGGCAGACTTGGGCTGCGATGCAGAGTTCTGTTTAGGGGTCATGTTAGGTTAGCTTTCTATTGATATTCAAGTGAAGACTGCAAGGTCGGGAGAAAGTCCTGGGAGCTGTCACCTATAGACAGTAGTATAAATCGTGGACCTCTTGGGGTCGGGGCATCACCTGTCTTGTGGACTCTGTTCCTAACAAGTGAAGTTGGGTTGCAGTGGCAGAATATTGAACCCACAGTAAAAGGATGTCATCTGAGGGACATGAGCAAGTATGGTGGCCTGCCTATCTCTGCTCAGCTGTGGTATGCTCTGTGCAGGGCCCTATGTCCAGTAGTCCCAGGGATGGGACAGGCAGAGGACTATCATAAGGGAATTGTCTGACTCCATGAAAGGGTCTGTGGCTTGGGCTTAGGAACCTCCAGGGCTCAGAGGCCCCAGATCCAGCCTGTCTCCCTAAGACTGGAAGGAAGGCGTGGGAGAACTCTGTAGAGCACAGGCACCAGCTGTCACAGCTCAGTGCTTCTCAGTCTCTTACCACAGAACCCACTTCCTGTGATGCCTCTGGGTTATCTCCACTACCATGAGCTTCCTGTGAGCAGAGCTAAGCAGAGTCTCAGGGAGATGTCAGCTGCTGTGAAGGTGAAGCCAGGCTGGGCTCCTTCCTGTCAGCAGCCTTGGGCTGGGGCAGGATTGTGACTTGTCAGCCCCTTGATGGCAGGCCCTCTCTGAGCAGACCAATGTCTGGCCTGTGGGCAGTGTACTGGCAGATGCTTGCTAAGTCACTACTGGGCTGAAAGCCGCCATGTGAAGCTAAATTGGAGTAGCAAGGTCCTGGTATGAGGCAATAGGCCCCATTCCTGGAGTAAGATAAGCCCCCTTCTCAGGTGACTGCCTGAGGAATTTCACTCAGAAGGGCACTGGGTCTGGAACATGTGCCTATCCAGAAGGACTGGGGGAAAAAGTTCAAGTTCCAAATTAAAGTTTCCTTCCCCTGGAGCTCCACTCTCCCCTTCTCCCTTCTCCTCCTGGGGTTTCACACTTGAGGAAGAGGTAAGACTTCAGGTGCCTGGGGCAGCTCAGAGACCACCCCCCCACCACCCACACTTCCTAGGACCCCACCATTGATTTAGTTCTGCGGGGCAGTCTCCCTGCTCCTGGAAGTGGGAAGTCTTCAGATACAGCTGGTTAGGACCCTGCTGCCCCGTTTCCTGTTTGCTGGGTGTGACTCTGGGTTATAGTCTCAGTTTTCCGTCTATTAGCCTTGGGTCAGTATGCCCTGTTCCATAGAACTGTGACCTTCATAAAGAAGATTCAGGAAGCAAGTCCACAGGAAAGCACCTGCTTTGGTGACTGGCACATAATAGGTTCTCAAGTGTTGAGGGGCTGGGAGCAGGGAGAGGAAAACCTACTAAATTGATTTTGGGACCTATGGTTTATAAAGCACTGTGTTCACAGTCAGGCCCAATTGTGAGCCCACACTCTGAAAGGGAAAGGATACATACATTGTCACAGTGGTCCTCCGCTGCTGAAACTACAGGCAACTTCATTTTACACAGATAAGAACAGAATAGTAGGGCTGGAATGGTGGCTCAGTGGTTAAGAGTGCATACTGCTCTTACAGAGGACTCAAGTTTGGATCCCAGCACCCACATTGGTTGGCTCACAACCTCCTCTAACTCCAGCTCCAGGGAATCCAGCACCCTCTTTTGCCTCCATAGACACTGCACTCATGTGCACAACCCTCTCCCCACCACATACACATAATTTTAAAATAAGATAAAATCTTTTTTTAAAGAATAGTGAAACCAATAAACAGAATAATAGTTAAAACATAAATAAGTTGTATAAATAAATAGTTATAAAACATCTCAATGTTTCCAGATGGACTCCTTCAGAACAGAGTTATTTTTCATGCCCTGAGGATTTCAGGTGGAATACCAAGGCCCTTAGGTTTGAAATCTCCTCACTATAGCAAGGAAAAGCCTCTCTGGATTTAACCCACAAAGGGAATAGCCCTAGTGAAGGTCCTGAGGCTTGGCCTGTGCTTGAAACAGAAAGAAAGCTAGAATGGAAGGAAGTGTATGGGAAGGAGGCAGAACAGTCCCCAGAAGGAGTGGTGGTCTCAACAGAGATGCCCTCTCTTCTTAAGGCTCCTCCCCAGCCTGTACTGCTCCTGGCCTGCACCAGCCACCTGCTGTAATCACCTGTCCTGTGGTCAGCCTTGCTCCCAGACAAATGATCATACCTGTCATGTGCACTACTGTACTTAGTCCCTACACTATGCCCAGCCTGTGGTAGGCACTTGGTGCATAGTCTCTTTAATATACATATTATTTTATGAAAAGTATATATTCTGCCAGGCGTGGTGGCGCACATTAATCCCAGCACTTGGGTGGTAGAGGCAGACGAATCTCTATGAGTTCAAGGCCAGCCTGGTCTACACAATGAGTTCCAGGCCAGCTGGGGCTACAGGGAGACCCTGTCTCAAAAAGGCCAAAGAAAAAAAAGAAAAGAAAAGTATATATTCTAGCTAGGTATACCAGCATTTGGGAGAGGAGGTGGAGACAGGAAGATCAGAAGTTCAAGGCTAGCCTGAGCTACATGAGATCCTGTCTCTAAAACTAAAATGGGTTGGAAAGATGGCTCAACCATAAGGTTGCATACTGCTTTTCCAAAGGCCCTGAGTTCAGTTCCCAGCACCTACAGTGGCAGCTCAACGCAGCCTGTAACTCCCGCACCGCACTCATTTGCATAAATACATACACACACATAATTAAAAAAAAAAAAAAAAGCCAGGCATGGTGGTGCACACCTTTAGTCCCAGCACTCAGGAGGCAGAGGCAGGTGGATCTCTTGAGTTCAAGGCCAGCCTGGTCTACGCAGTGAGTTTCAGGATAGCTGGGGCTACAAGGAGACCCTGTCTCAAAAAGACAAATAAATTTTAAAAATAATAATGAAATAAAACAAAAGTTATTCTCTCCCTCTCCCTCTCCTGGTTCCCCTCCCCTCCCCCCTCCCC